CCGCCTCAGCCTTCCGAGTAGCCGGAATTACAGGCACGTGCTACCATGCCCGGCTAATTTCTTGATTTATTGTAGAGATGAGGTCTCGCGTGCTCAGGCGGGTCACGAACTAAGGAGCAGTATTGGAAAACTATGTGCAACATGGTTCCCCAAGAGAGAAATGTCAAGTTCACTGGAAACTTTTATTCCAGCATAGGAACTAGGAAAATCAAACTGACGGATATAACCATAACTGATGGTTAATGACCAAAACTAGTCAATGCAAATTCTAATGAGGTGGAAAGTCACCATTTAAAGGCTGTGGTTGTCAGAGAGACTGCTATTTGTGGATTCAGGATTAAATGAAATAAATTAAACTGTATAAAAACAAAAGCTTACTGCTTAGTAGAAAGAAGAAAAATGGAAAAACAGCTTGAGAGGATTAACTTGAACATTTCTCTAAAGAGAGTAGTATTGCAAAACAGAAGACATTAACATGAATGTGCTATTGCCCATAAAATGGCTTAACAAAGGGAAAGTCTTTCTTTTTTGTAAACAGTAACATACTGCCAGTGAGTCCTGCAGAGGAATTTATGGGAAGAACAGAGCAGCAAAAGCTATCTCTATTACAGGATCTGTAAGACTCTAGGAAGCAGCTTTACATTCTGAGTCTTCCCATATAAAGCTTTTAAATACCACTGCATATAAAGATTAATTGCAAAATAATGCTGAGAGATCTAACTTAAAATGTTTAGTCATCTGGAATTCAAATCTGTGACTGGCTGCCATGTACCCTGGCCCAACATACATACAAATCAGAAAGCTTTTTACTAAGACAGTATCCCTGTGATTCCATAAACATGCCAATCTCATTTCTAGAACATTCTACTATATTGTAGTTTGAGCCTCAGAGTCAACCTGCACCATTCATAAGCACCTCTCCCTAACAAAGTAATGTGCAATAATAGCAAATGCTGACTTCATTTGGTTCTCCTAGATGAAAGGCAGTTGGTGGGTTTCTCACCACAGTAAATATCTCTGGTTTGGAATATGGTGAATCCTTGGACAAAGGTGATCCCTTTGCCAGGTGCAGTGGCTCACATCTGTAATCAGCACTTTGGTAGGCTGAGGCAGGAGGACTACTTGAGCCCAGGAGTTGGAAATCAGCCTAGGAAACAAAGCGAGACCTTGTCTCTACAAAACATAAAAAGTAAGCCAGGGATGATGGTGTGTACCTGCACTCCCAGCTACTCAGGAGGCTGAGGAAAAAGGATCACCTGCCCAGGAGGTCAAGGATGTGGTGAGCCAGGATTGTGCCATTGTACTAGAGCCTGGGTGACAGAGACCTCCAAAAAAAAAAAAAGCCCTTCCCAGAACTACATTTGTTCCATTGCTCTTCTGTAGGCTCTATAATGTAGGGTAGAAGTCCTGAGTGTCATCTCCACATTTCCCCATTGTTGGATTCGGACATGGATGACCTACAGCTTGGTAGTCTCACAGTCATTTCTATCCGTGTGGACTCTCTAAGGTGTCTAAGGGGTATGATGTGTGTGAAGGCTTGTGTATGAATGTGTTCTTTCTCATGAGTATAACTGGGTCAAGTATAGTAAGGGATGAGCTATGGCTTAAGGTTTTCCCACATCCCCAGCCCACATGGAGAGGGTCTACCCGGTATGAGTTCTCTGGTGCTTGGTAAGGGAAGAGCTGTGTGTAAAGGCTTTCCCACAGTTCCTGCATGTGTACGGCCTCTCTCCTGTGTGGATCCTCCGGTGCTGAGTGAGGTGGGTACTTTGCCTGAAGGACTTCCCGCAATCCTGACATTCATAGGGCTTTTCCCCGGTGTGTGTCCTTTCATGCTGGCTGAGCGAGGAGCTGTGACTAAAGGACTTCCCACACTCATTGCAGCCATAGGGCTTTTCCTTGGTGTGAATCCTCTGGTGTTCGATGAGAAGGGAGCTCTGACTGAAGGCTCTGCCACACTCATTGCATTCATAGGGCTTCTCTCCGGTGTGGGTCCTCTGATGCTGAATGAGGGGGGCGAGTTGGCTGAAGGCTCTTCCGCATTCGTTACACTCATAGGGTTTCTCCCCAGTATGGATCCGCTGATGCTTGGTTAGGGAAGAGCTGTGGCTAAAGGCCTTGCCGCAGTCACCACACTCATAGGGCTTCTCCCCAGTGTGTATTCTCTGATGCTGAGTGAGGTGCGTGCTCTGCCGGAAGGCCTTTCCACACTGGCTGCACTCATAGGGCTTCTCTCCCGTGTGCGTCCGCTCGTGCTGGCTAAGCGAGGAGCTGTGACTGAAGGATTTCCCACACTCATTGCATCCATAGGGCTTCTCTCCCGTGTGAATCCTCCGGTGCTCGGTCAGGAGTGTACTCTGGCTGAAGGCTTTCCCACACTCATTGCACTCATAGGGCCTCTCCCCTGTATGGGTCCTCTGATGCTGAATCAGTGGTGTGATCTGGGTGAAGGCTTTTCCACATTCATGGCACTCGTAGGGTTTCTCCCCAGTGTGAATTCGCTGATGTTTGGTCAAGGACGAGCTGTGGCTGAAGGCCTTGCCACACTCTCCACACTGATAGGGTTTCTCCCCAGTGTGAATTCGCAGGTGCTGGGTAAGGTGGATGCTTTGCCGGAAGGCTTTCCCACACTCACTGCACTCATAGGGCTTCTCACCTGTGTGAGTCCGCTCATGTTGGCTGAAGGAGGACCTAAAACTGAAGGATTTCCCACATTCACTGCACTCGTAGGGCTTCTCACCCGTGTGAGTTCTCTGGTGCTGGATTAGTGGGGCGATTTGGTTGAAGGTCCTCCCACACTGAGTGCATTTATAGGGCTTCTCCCCAGTGTGGATTCTCTGATGTTTGGTAAGTGCTGAGCTGTTCCGGAAGCCTTTTCTGCATTCGTGACATTCATAAGGTCTCTCTCCCGTGTGTGTTCGTTGGTGTTCGATGAGTGCTGAGCTGTGACTAAAGGCCTTTCCGCATTCCAGACATCTATAGGGTTTCTTTTTTGCATAATAGGTTTCCTGTTGCACATTTAAGGCTAGCTTCTCCCTTTCTCCATGAGCTCTCCACAGAGGAGGGTCTTGTCTTTCAGGAGTCATTGCTTGACTGGGGAGATCAGGGCTCAGACTTAAGTCATCCCCATACCTATTCCTCTGATGCTGCTCCTGAGTAGGTGTCTTTTCAGGCGTGAAGGCTGCTGGTACCATAAGGCTCTCTAAGCTCTCACAACCCCATTTCCAGTAGCCCTCTGTGTCCTCACTCTTGCAGTACAACAGAGCATCCCACAGGAATCTTCCTATCAGGATGACCCTGCTGGATATTTCTTCAGAGATATCTTGCTTTGGAGCTGACAGTTTGACTTTGGGTCTAGTTTCTAGGTCTGAAAGAAACAAAAAAATGGAAATGTTCCTTAATCCCTTTTCCAGGAGAAAAGATTTTGTGGTAGGTGGGGACATGAAGGAATAAAACTGATTATTTTGAAAGGCTCAAGACACAAATGGCTTTGACCATTTAACTACAAACCAGGAAAGAAAAAGGAGAGGGAGGGGAAAAACAGAATCACTGGAGGTGGGGAGAGTTGGCATAAGGGGTGTGGATACAGCCTGCAAGGGGAGCACAAAGAGGGTGCAGAGAGGGATTCAAGGAGCAAGTACTTAGGTCCACAGATGCCCAGGCTTAGAAGGAGCAGTGCTGGCTGGGCTCAGTGGCTCAGCCTGTAATCCCAGCACTTTGGGAGGCTGAGAAGAGTGGATTGCTTGAGCCTGTGGGTTCGAGTCCAGCCCGGGCAGCTTGGTGAGACCTCATCTCTACAATAAATCAAAAATTAGCCAGGAGTGGTGGTGCATGCCTGTATTTCTGGCTACTTAGAAAGCGGAGATGGAAGGATTGTCTGAGCCCAGAAGGTCGATGCTGGGGTGGCCATGAGTGTGCCACTGCACTCCAGCCTGGGCAA